ATATGTTCGGTGTTCTAGACATTGACGAATGCGGTGCTTCTTCTCCTGTATGTGACATCAATGCAAACTGCTCCAATACTCGTGGATCGTATATCTGTACCTGCAGGACAGGATATACAGGCGATGGAAAAACTTGCCAAGGTAGGATAAATGTCGATTTACTGTGATAACAACGAAGAGGGCAGATTCTCAGGGACTTGTGACAACCAGTAAAAATCGTCAATCCATCGAATCCAGTCCGTTTATATACGGGCAGTGCATGAGATCATCCCGGGGTTATACTTCTGTTATTAAAAACTTTTTGGATAAATGTAAGTGTATACAAATTCTTTAAAAGGCCGCGTATTAAGAATTAAAACGTTTAAAGTCTGTTATTTAACCGCGGAAAGTAATGCTGTAGTTACTTAGTAGCCCACCTAGACCAGTGGAAAAAGAAAAAGAAAATTATGCAACAGCACCGGGTAACCCTAGGTTTTTGGAACAGCCTATATAGATAAACTATGCTTTAGAAGAATTATGAGAGATCTATAAAAAATGTTGATGAGTTTAGGCGTGGACAACTCGATGGCGAAGAAGAAAACTCTAAAACGTTTTTGTTCCCTGTTGAGGAAATTCAGACTGTTTTCAACGGAAATCGAACAAGGTTGAATATTTTCATTATTACTACTTTATTATTATTATTTGATTTTATTTTGTTAGCAAGGAGCCTACGATAGATCCTTGGGGAACTCCAATATTTTTGTTTTTCTAGACATTGACGAATGCAGTGCTTCTTCTCCTGTATGTGACAGCAATGCCAACTGCTCCAATACTCGTGGATCGTATATCTGCACCTGTAAGGCAGGATACTACGGCGATGGAAAAACTTGCGGAGGTAGGAGAAAATAATTAGTTAATCCGAAGGTCAGTTACCCTTTACTGTTATAATTAACAATTATTCCATTAGGGCGCGTTGGATATGAGATGATAGATAGCCAACGAGGCGCGTAGCGCCGAGTTGGCTATAATGATCTCATATCCAACAAGCGCGAGTGGAATAATTTTTTTATTAAAAACGCCGACAAAATCTCGTTGAATCTCCCCGACTAGAACAAACCGGAAAGACAAGGGACTTCCGCTATTCACATGTCACACGTCTATCAAAACTGTCAACGCGCGAACGGACTCGCCTGGACTGCATGAATGAAAAATCAAAACATTGTAGCGATGAACATTTGTTTAAAAACTCATCGGGATTCTAGGATTTTACACAGCAGAACAGCTTAAAAAAAAGGGAAGAAAATGTGAAGGAAAAGAATTTTTAAGTGACAGACGTGGAAATTACTGAGAAGTTGGATTTTCGGTGCAGTTATAAAAGTAATAACAACGGAGAAAAACTATTACTTCGGTCGCTTGTTATGAAGTTGTTTGAAGCCACAAGCTGGTTTTGCTGAACGAGAAAAGAACCTATACTGCCGCCTCGATTGCTCTAGTGAATGGCTCCATAGCCTATATTTTTAGCTGGTTACTTGTGATTTATATTCTTGATGTCGAATAAACAAGCCGCAGTTATCTATCGGCGAGTGACTCGATCGGTGAATGGCTTCGCGATCATGAAGAAACAACACTTGTGTTCTTTCGTAGCTGGTCAAGGTACTTTAGTTCCATGTGTTTTCATGTGTTTTTCGACAAACTTTCAAACAAGTTCTTGTGGCTTTTTTGTTTGTTTTGTCTTTTTTCTTTCGATGAAATTGCATTTCTAGTATTCTAAGAAATGAATTAAAACGATTTGCTTCGGGCACCGTTCTATCCTTCGCGAAAAAAAATCTCAGCTAGCTTCCAATTTTAAACTGACGCGTACACCGACCATATAGGGAGAGCATGGTATAATAGCTCATATACCATAACGGCTAAGCCAATCAAAATGTTAGAATTGCATTATCCAATGATTCAGTTTTTAATAACATCAATTATGGAAGTTTTCTAAGGACGCGCGACATCATAGTATTCAAAATTGTGGCTAATGAGATCGGCAATCCGCTGAATCCGCCGATAAGTTTTCGTACCCAGCATTGACGTCATACTTCATGTTATGCTTCTGCTGGAGTCTATAACACGGAGCGAGTAACTTCGAAGTTGATCGATACCATATTAAGAACATACGAGCAATTTACCATCGATTTGATGGCGTGTTGCTCCATCCTCCAAATATCGTAAACGCCAGTTGATTAGGGGCTTTGAGCCAATCAGAACCGGCGAAGTATTTTGAATGAATAATTGTAATTAATGTAATATTCTATTTACGCTATTTCATTTTATCAGATGTTCATTTATGTTTATCGAACATTTTGATATATCTATATAGATGCTCCAGCGTTATAAGTGTTTAAATTATTTTAAATTATTTTAAGTGATATCAGCTTCGAAAAAATATGTTACCTGAATCACCTTTTCTTTTCTCCTCCCGTATATCAGTTTTCGCAGAGGGACTGAATGACTCCGTTATCTTAAGAGATAATGTGCATCACTTAGCTAATTTAAGCGCATGGCTCAAACCAGTTGCCCAAAGCGAATCTTCAAAATGGAAGCGCTGTTGGCGTGCGTCCGTGGATGGCTGGGCTGCAAGTACTTTTCACAGCGGATGTGACAACAAAGGACCAACTGTAACAATCATAAGAGTCGGAGGGAAATACATATGTGGAGGGTACACTAACCTCTCATGGGGTAAGCTCTAATAGACCTTGTAACGGTTTTCGACGCCATATTCATCGAGTAGGCAAACGTGTGAGAAATTACAGTGTTCATATGAGAATCTGATGATGAAAAATTTCCGTAATTCGGCTGTTCTGAAAAAAAGACATCAATTGTAAACTAAAGCTACGAAGCAAAGGATTGCACTAAAAAATTTGGGGGGCGTACCTGTCCTTAAATTTCTCCAGAGGATTGCTTAAGGTTTTCCATGTATTTGTCTGTAATTTCTCCCGGGACTTTCCTACAGACAAATGTATAGAAAATTTAAAAAAAGTGGTTCTAGGTCTTCTAGCGCACGCAACGCCCTCACTTTTTTTTCAGTAGCATCCTTAGGAGTGAAGTTTTAGTTTAAAATTGATATTTTTTTCATAACAGCAAACACTGTAACTTCTCACGCGTTTACCTACTCGTCGAAAAGGCAAGGTCTATTTTTAATGGTCTAAACACCAAACAAAGCCGGCCACCTTTTAGTATCACACCGTGGTTGCGCATACTAAGCTGGAGGGATTGTTGGCGTGCGGAATCCAACCAGCCCCTCTCCGACAATACTCTTTACTTACTTTCTCCATTTTAACAAAACAATGCTTGGGAATTCGGGTTTGTATGTTTAACACCAATTCTGTGGGGTTACTTCATTAGGGAATTGTAACGTTGTTTCATGCAAGAAAGTCAAACAATGATACTGTTAAGAAAATTAACAGCTTTTTAAATAACAGCATGAAATAAAACAAGTGTAATGGGAAAATGTTGAATATGGATGTTGGAACGGGTTAGGGCTGAATCCTCACGAAGACGACTTTCTCTCCGATTTTCCATGAATAAAGCGCAGTTAAGGCGAAGTAGTAGTATACGAGGTAAAGAAAATTCTGTTGCACAGGGATGACAACTTGACACTAGCTTATCTTGCAGAACGATGGATGATTACAGATATTCGCCGACAATAAAATTCTGTGCTGATATTTGTTACTCTAAAAAGTGGTTTTTAGGCAAAGCATACCGCACTATTGTCTCAAGTGCCGTTGTATTTAAAAAAAAAAATGACTAGAACGCAAGTGTGAATTGATCAAGGCTTAAGTTCCTAAGGCTCGCTTTCCTGCTCTTAAAACTAAATGAAAACTGTATATAAAAAGTGCAAGTTAGATGGGGAAAAATGCCGCTTCTAATCAAGTCTTTTTCGTTATAGTTCACGATAAAAATAAAATAAAATAAGATAAAATAATTGCCAACGAGCAGCCTCGCGAAGAACCGAGGCTGTGAGGCGGCAGCCTAATAGAACCGTGCGCGATTGTTCCAGGGGCAGAATAAATCTGGAATCGATGCAACATAGAGTAATGTAAGGCAGCCATAACGTAATGCGGAACAGAGAATGCATTGTTTTCGAGCGAACATTTGATACGGATCAGAGAATCCACGAGCTGTTTGTGTGTGTTTGTGAGTCCCGCGCTCATCCCGTCTTCAACCAATCGTCAGGTGGATCATTTCCATCCTACGCCATATCTGTCGCATTTGCCTGTTGGAATTTTTTATAGCATGCCGTTAATAACGCAGCGAAATTTTTTGTGTCTTTGAAGCAAAATAATTCGGAAGGCTTCATTGGCGCCTCATAAATTTGTTTACCTTTAAAAAGAGACCAAATATAAGTCTGGACGTTGAATATTCGGGGACTTTAACACCATTTTTCGAGGATTTTAATTTTGGTTATAAGTCCGCTAAATTTTACGCAATTGACCTGTGCGCAACTTCGGACAAAAACACGAACTCCAATATCTCGAGAAATTTGCTGCGTAAAGTCGGGATTTCAAATTCTTCATGCAGAAGAACAGTTAAGTTCACTATTTTCAAAAGACAAATTAAAGCAAGGGGCACACATACACCAAACCTATGATCCGCGTTTCCCGCGCATATAGTGGGAGAAATGCCGTGAGGTTTCCAGTCAACAGCTCTCGCATGTGTTGTGTGGAGCTGGCACTGTTTTATAAGAACCAGAATCTCATTTGCCTTTCTGAAAACATCCCTCCTATGCTTAAGGGGATCGCGTTCAATGACGAGAGTAAATCTTAACCTAAAAGAGGTGGACTTTGACTGTGAAAGAGGACTTTTAGGACGCTGGACTTTGATTTAGAGAAAAGATATTGAATATTGCATATTCAATTATTACTACTATATAATATTCTTATCGATGTTGGTTCATGTTGAAATCGTAGCAGTTTTTTACTTCTTTTTAAGTCATTTTATCCTTATTTTTCATTTTAGGACTATTGGTAATCATTTTTACACGTAATAGTTTTTTTTTTTTTTTCAAGAAATAAGTTTTAAATCTTCTGCGTTTACACTGCGAAAATGATTATGATGATGTTGCTGAAGATTATAATAATAATGGCCTGAGCAGCCCAAAAAATCTTCAGTATGAATCGGTGTACTTCAAAAAGCTACACAAAGACCGAGCAGAACGGGGGCTGCTCTAGTGTCAACTATTACAAGTGTGTACCTCTTTTTCACACATTAAAGTTTCCCTTGCACAATTATTTCGTGTACTCTGTCGCCAAAAAGCACGTCTATCAAAACTGTCAACGCGCGAACGGACTCGCCTGGACTGCATGAATGAAAAATCAAAACATTGTAGCGATGAACATTTGTTTAAAAACTCATCGGGATTCTAGGATTTTACACAGCAGAACAGCTTAAAAAAAAGGGAAGAAAATGTGAAGGAAAAGAATTTTTAAGTGACAGACGTGGAAATTACTGAGAAGTTGGATTTTCGGTGCAGTTATAAAAGTAATAACAACGGAGAAAAACTATTACTTCGGTCGCTTGTTATGAAGTTGTTTGAAGCCACAAGCTGGTTTTGCTGAACGAGAAAAGAACCTATACTGCCGCCTCGATTGCTCTAGTGAATGGCTCCATAGCCTATATTTTTAGCTGGTTACTTGTGATTTATATTCTTGATGTCGAATAAACAAGCCGCAGTTATCTATCGGCGAGTGACTCGATCGGTGAATGGCTTCGCGATCATGAAGAAACAACACTTGTGTTCTTTCGTAGCTGGTCAAGGTACTTTAGTTCCATGTGTTTTCATGTGTTTTTCGACAAACTTTCAAACAAGTTCTTGTGGCTTTTTTGTTTGTTTTGTCTTTTTTCTTTCGATGAAATTGCATTTCTAGTATTCTAAGAAATGAATTAAAACGATTTGCTTCGGGCACCGTTCTATCCTTCGCGAAAAAAAATCTCAGCTAGCTTCCAATTTTAAACTGACGCGTACACCGACCATATAGGGAGAGCATGGTATAATAGCTCATATACCATAACGGCTAAGCCAATCAAAATGTTAGAATTGCATTATCCAATGATTCAGTTTTTAATAACATCAATTATGGAAGTTTTCTAAGGACGCGCGACATCATAGTATTCAAAATTGTGGCTAATGAGATCGGCAATCCGCTGAATCCGCCGATAAGTTTTCGTACCCAGCATTGACGTCATACTTCATGTTATGCTTCTGCTGGAGTCTATAACACGGAGCGAGTAACTTCGAAGTTGATCGATACCATATTAAGAACATACGAGCAATTTACCATCGATTTGATGGCGTGTTGCTCCATCCTCCAAATATCGTAAACGCCAGTTGATTAGGGGCTTTGAGCCAATCAGAACCGGCGAAGTATTTTGAATGAATAATTGTAATTAATGTAATATTCTATTTACGCTATTTCATTTTATCAGATGTTCATTTATGTTTATCGAACATTTTGATATATCTATATAGATGCTCCAGCGTTATAAGTGTTTAAATTATTTTAAATTATTTTAAGTGATATCAGCTTCGAAAAAATATGTTACCTGAATCACCTTTTCTTTTCTCCTCCCGTATATCAGTTTTCGCAGAGGGACTGAATGACTCCGTTATCTTAAGAGATAATGTGCATCACTTAGCTAATTTAAGCGCATGGCTCAAACCAGTTGCCCAAAGCGAATCTTCAAAATGGAAGCGCTGTTGGCGTGCGTCCGTGGATGGCTGGGCTGCAAGTACTTTTCACAGCGGATGTGACAACAAAGGACCAACTGTAACAATCATAAGAGTCGGAGGGAAATACATATGTGGAGGGTACACTAACCTCTCATGGGGTAAGCTCTAATAGACCTTGTAACGGTTTTCGACGCCATATTCATCGAGTAGGCAAACGTGTGAGAAATTACAGTGTTCATATGAGAATCTGATGATGAAAAATTTCCGTAATTCGGCTGTTCTGAAAAAAAGACATCAATTGTAAACTAAAGCTACGAAGCAAAGGATTGCACTAAAAAATTTGGGGGGCGTACCTGTCCTTAAATTTCTCCAGAGGATTGCTTAAGGTTTTCCATGTATTTGTCTGTAATTTCTCCCGGGACTTTCCTACAGACAAATGTATAGAAAATTTAAAAAAAGTGGTTCTAGGTCTTCTAGCGCACGCAACGCCCTCACTTTTTTTTCAGTAGCATCCTTAGGAGTGAAGTTTTAGTTTAAAATTGATATTTTTTTCATAACAGCAAACACTGTAACTTCTCACGCGTTTACCTACTCGTCGAAAAGGCAAGGTCTATTTTTAATGGTCTAAACACCAAACAAAGCCGGCCACCTTTTAGTATCACACCGTGGTTGCGCATACTAAGCTGGAGGGATTGTTGGCGTGCGGAATCCAACCAGCCCCTCTCCGACAATACTCTTTACTTACTTTCTCCATTTTAACAAAACAATGCTTGGGAATTCGGGTTTGTATGTTTAACACCAATTCTGTGGGGTTACTTCATTAGGGAATTGTAACGTTGTTTCATGCAAGAAAGTCAAACAATGATACTGTTAAGAAAATTAACAGCTTTTTAAATAACAGCATGAAATAAAACAAGTGTAATGGGAAAATGTTGAATATGGATGTTGGAACGGGTTAGGGCTGAATCCTCACGAAGACGACTTTCTCTCCGATTTTCCATGAATAAAGCGCAGTTAAGGCGAAGTAGTAGTATACGAGGTAAAGAAAATTCTGTTGCACAGGGATGACAACTTGACACTAGCTTATCTTGCAGAACGATGGATGATTACAGATATTCGCCGACAATAAAATTCTGTGCTGATATTTGCTACTCTAAAAAGTGGTTTTTGAGCAAAGCATTCTGCACTATTGTCTCAAGTGCCGTTGTATTTAAAAAAAATAACAAAAATGACTAGAACGCAAGTGTGAATTGATTAAGGCTTAAGTTCCTAAGGCTCGCTTTCCTGCTCTTAAAACTAAATGAAAACTGTATATAAAAAGTGCAAGTTAGATGGGGAAAAATGCCGCTTCAAATCAAGTCTTTTTTGTTATAGTTCACAATAAAAATAAAATAAGATAAGATAAAATAATTGCCAACGAGCAGCCCCGCGAAGAACCGAGGCTGTGAGGCGGCAGCCTAATAGAACCGTGCGCGATTGTTCCAGGGGCAGAATAAATCTGGAATCGATGCAACATAGAGTAATATAAGGCAGCCATAACGTAATGCGGAACAGAGAATGCATTGTTTTCGAGCGAACATTTGATACGGATCAGAGAATCCACGAGCTGTTTGTGTGTGTTTGTGAGTCCCGCGCTCATCCCGTCTTCAACCAATCGTCAGGTGGATCATTTCCATCCTACGCCATATCTGTCGCATTTGCCTGTTGGAATTTTTTGTAGCAAGCCGCTAATAACGCAGCGAAGTTTTTTGTGTCTTTGAAGCAAAATAATTCGGAAGGCTTCATTGGCCCACCATAAATTTGTTTAGCTTTATGTTGAATATTTAATAATTGAATATTTATTGAATATTGAATCTTTACGTTGGACGTTGAATATTCGCGGACTTTAACACCATTTTTCGAGGATTTTAAGTTTGGTTATAAGTCCGCTAAATTTTACGCAATTGACCTGTGCGCAACTTCGGACAAAAACACGAACTCCAATATCTCGAGAAATTTGCTGCGTAAAGTCGGGATTTCAAATTCTTAATGCAGAAGAACAGTTAAGTTCACTATTTTCAAAAGACAAATTAAAGCAAGGGGCACACATACACCAAACCTATGATCCGCGTTTCCCGCGCATATCGTGGGAGAAATGCCGTGAGGTTTCCAGTCAACAGTTCTCACATGTGTTGTGTGGAGCTGGCACTGTTTTATAAGAAACAGAATCTCATTTGCCATTCTGAAAACATCCCTCCTATGCTTAAGGGGATCGCGTTCAATGACGAGAGTAAATCTCAATCTAAAAGAGGTGGACTTTGACTTCGAAAGAGGACTTTTAGGACGCTGGACTTTGATTTAGAGAAAAGATATTGAATATTGCATATTCAATTATTACTACTATTTAATATTCTTATCGATGTTGGTTCATGTTGAAATCGTAGTAGTTTTTTACTTCTTTTTAAGTCATTTTATCCTTATTTTTCATTTTAGGACTATATCGTAATCATTTTTACACGTAATAGTTTTTTTTTTCAAGAAATAAGTTTTAAATCTTCTGCGTTTACACTGCGAAAATGATTATGATGATGTTGATGAAGATTATAATAATAATGGCCTGAGCAGCCCAAAAAATCTTCAGTATGAATCGGTGTATTTCAAAAAGCTACACAAAGACCGAGCAGAACGGGGGCTGCTCTAGTGTCAACTATTACAAGTGTGTACCTCTTTTTCACACATTAAAGTTTCCCTTGCACAATTATTTCGTGTACTCTGTCGCCAAAAAGCAAAACCGTACCTTTGCGTTTTTAAGTTAGCTGGACTACGACCAAGACAGCATCGCAGGGGGTAGTTCGGAAGTACAGTGGAACCTCGGCATAACGAAGGACCAAGTAACCGGCAGAATTTGTTCGCTATACAACGAGGTGTCGTTTTATGGAGTTTCTTTTCCGTGGGGTAAAGAAAATCGTTAGTTACATTAAGGAATTCGTCATTTAGAGGTTCGTTATTTCGAGGTTCCGCTTGTCTGTAGTAAACAACAATTGAACAATTCAAGCCTTTATATCGGGATGTAATTTATCGCTCTGTTCAATCTAAAAACACACTTATCACGAGTTTGATATCTTTGCTAAGGGAGTTAAACTATTACGAGTACTATCAGTATATTTTCTTGTCTGTATGAATTCCAATTTTTGAACGAAGTCTTTGTATTGCTAATCCTTTTCATTTGTTATTTTCCCCAACAGGTTACAGCTGCCAGTATCGATATGATTCCCAGGCATTCCTTTTCTCGCTGGTAAACAAGCCAGGATGGACGCCTGTGAAACTGCCTCAGACAGGGAAGTATAGTTACCACAATGTCCACTCCATATACGACTGCTCGTCTTATGGACCTACTTTCGGTGGAGGCCATGACATTACCATTTATTATTCATCTAGTAGCAATTCCTATGCCAACCTTGGCTGGACTTACAGCCCACCAAGCGGGTACAACTATGGAAGCACCTTCACCCGAACATTTCTGGCAGGAGGAAGTAATCATTATTTTACTCCAGATGAAGTAGAAACATTTTACGGAACAACCTAAAAACTGTGGCATCGTATTCAACTTCAAACTTGACAGTCAATTAAGATATTACACTGTATTAAGCCGGGGTAATACATTCTTTTTTTTAACCAGGCAATACAAAAATAAATACATTTTAATTTGTAAATTTAATATTGAGGCCTGGACAGTATAAGTTACGGTACAAAACTTGTACCACCCTATTAAAATGATGTTTAATATAACCAAATGTTCTTATTTCTTTCTTTCAAACATTTCTCCTCGTCTGATTTGCAAAATATACACCTGTTATGTTTTTTTTCATATTGAGTTGCCTAGTCAAATTTGTAATATTAGTCTAGTGCTTTATGGCTGAAACTGATGTACATCTGTAACTCGAATGATTTTTTAAGAAAGGCTTATAAGCTTGGGATTAGTTTTCCAAACATATAAGCAATTCATTTCGGCATGCAAATCCTAATTAAAGAACTATAGTTTTTCTGGATAGAATGAAGTACCAGGAAGATCAGCTCTCAAATAAAACTTGCATATTAATCTAAAGAAGAAACGAAATAATTGGAAAGCGATATATTTGTGGACGTAATTGTTAAAGTTTAGCAGAAGATATTCGCTTTGAGTTTTACGTTAATGAATATCCTAATTAATCACTCTTTCGAATGATTGATTAATAATGATATAGAATTTTTTTGGTTTCTAGGAACTGGCCGGGTCCTATTTTTTTCTTTTAATCGGATCCGAATAAGAACTCAGACTAGAAGAAGAAGCAGAAATAATAATTAAAAAATAATAATTATATAGTCAAAACTACGTATATTATGTTACAAAACCTCCAATTTTGAACTAAGTCACATTGAAATAAGTTATAGAGCTAAATGATATTTAAATAATGAAAAAAAATCGGCCGGTAACTAGATTTGTGTCTTAGATTGTATTATATGACATGCAGTTTACAGCTGAGTTTAGGCATAAGGTTTTTCAGAGCGATAATCATTTCAAAAGAAGATTCTTTTTGCTTGAAATAATGGCTTGAATTATAGATACAATAAGCTTTACCAAACTGATCAACGGTTATAATGATCATTGACATTTCTTTATGTAACCTAAGGTACATTACATTTTTGTCTTCCTTTTGTCTGTGAATAACGTAATTAAACAATTCTTTGGAGTTTTATTTAAAAAGATTTTTAAAAGCAATAACATGCAATAAATTTCTCCATTGGCAAATAAAAAGTGTGGATGTGTAGAAATTTGTGACGATATTATTATCGTAACTTCGTACGCCCGCCCTTGTACAATACACGATTTATCGAATGGCTTCTTACACCAAGCCATACTTTTCGCTGACGAAACATCAGTATGGAATTTCCGCGCTCGTGTCGCAAATGTCGGCTGTTTTCTCAGGCTATGGCCCCTACCCCACAGTGACTCCGCACTATCTGGATGATTGGAAACAGTTTCATCTAAGTAACGAGGTGACTGCGATAACCTCGCATCGTATCAGGGAGAGTTGCCACAAGCCTCTGTTTTAAAGCGAGGCTAAGTGCAAAGCCATCTTCTCATATCAATGGAATGACAGGCTTGACCTAAGTAAGCCAAAAAGATTAGAACTACGCCTTAGCCCTTTATTAAATCAGTGGACAGAGGCGAGCCAACCGCGCTTGCAATTTTACAGTCCGACTGTGGAGAAGACATGAAACGCAACAGTGCAATTCAGTTCCTCTCGTAGTTTGTCGCATGGAACTGTTAAAGGGCGATATATTTTTTTCCAGGGACCGGCGCGTCGTCCGGGTGGTTCTGATATCATTGCTAAGTTACTGAAGTTTCCGCAATTTTTTTTGTCCACTTGTCGAACTCTAAGAGCACAAGGCTTAAAAGCCTAATAAAGGGAAGGGGAAGGTTTAGGAGCTTCTTTTTTATAGTTTAGGTTTAAGTGTGGCTTGGCCAGACAGCAAATTTCGGCAGTATAAAGGGCCCTGTAGAAGTACACTCTGTAATGGTTCCGTTTTATCTTTGGTTTAAATTTTATTTTTCTTTGTTTGAAACTCATCATCGTAGATTACCACACCCAGAAATCAAGGAAAATACAATTTGGACCAAGATAATATCGAGCCACAACAGATCCACTGACTGGGATAACAGTGGAATCACAAAAAGGCGTCCCTTCAAGAAAAATGAATTAACAGCTTGATGAAGATCACGTTTCTAATGTATTTTTTAGCAGGAACTAGAAGAATATCGAGTGGAAGGTTGAGTACCACTGGTAAATGCTTTGTCTGAAATTTTTGTTGTATATCCTTTATTTTTCCTTTTTCATCGTATTTACAAACTCCATTCTTAAAAGAAGCTTTGTTCTGATAAGGCAAAAGAATCACAATAATATGTTAATGAGCAAGCTTGCTTAAAGTGATATAAGCATATGCATATAGTTATCCAACGACCTCCTTTGTCTCTTAACTACCGGTTTAAACTGGTTTTCATTTTCCCGCATGAAGTTTTCTTTTCGTTAAATATCCACCTCGATATATTGTAATGTTGATGCTAAAACTTGAAGGTGCTATTTAGTTGGTCCACTTGTTTAACGTTTCAGACGGTAAGAAACATAAAAGCTTTTTCCGCGAATGAAATCTGAAAACTTAAAAATTCAAAATCAAAAGGGAAGAAACATTTTACGAAACTTGTTGAAGTACTATGAAAGGTCTGGAGGATTTTGAGTAACGGTTACAATACAAATTAATTTGAGTTTATGTGGGCATGCATAACGTTAGCTTCCACAACACTTCCATGAGGCAACCATGCTCCATTCGCTTTGGCCTGCGGTCATCATGTAGATACCAGAGGCTGAAACTAGAAATTCAACAAGTAAAAAACATAATTAACAGCACATGGACAACAGCCCACGTTCGATATATCAAAATTCTAACATGACTCCGAGGCTTTAGGGTCAAAAGTACAAATTTTTCACGACATCCATTGTCTCGCAATTCCCAGAAGAGACTTGAGCACAAAGAAAACCAAACCAAATATAGAAAAATGACCAGAAAGCCTCGGAGTCATGTTAGAATTTTAAAACAGTATATCGAAGGTGGGCTATTGACTGTAGTGGTACTCACGATGACGTCACTTACTGATATAAATGTGCCAACCAGAAGAGCATTGGTTCTTGAGACAAAGTTTGTTTCATCCGTTACACATTTGAATAACAAAAACAATGTTTGTGAACAGTGAGTCTTCGTATTGCTATTCTCTTAATCGTCAAAGGATGATCCTAATTTATTAAAATTATTATCTTGGGTGTTAAACCCTATGCTAACCGGGCTAGAAAATAAGACAGTGAAATCTCTCTTTCTAATAAACGCTAAAGTACTGCCACACTGTTTTTACATGTGCTGTTGAAGACGCTTGAGAAGGTCTAGCTGATTACAGGGCAAAGGTAGTATCCTTATTTCTCAGCTATTTCAATACCCTGAGTATTGATCCAGCACAGGGGATCAAACCCTCGACCCCGCGCTCTCCTGCCCAGCACTCTAGGTACTGAGCCAACCAGGCCATGGTTATTGCAAGAGCTCAGTTTAAAAAGATCTTGTGCTATGTTCCATTGATTCGATGCCTCTATGCAGTGCATGCCTCAAAATTTAGTAAACCTATGAAAACGTCCTAACCTCCCCACTTTCTTCCGCTGAAAGTAGCTGCTGACCAGAACGTCTCCGGACTGGCAGACACCATATTTTCAGGGATCACTGTGCTCAGTTTGAGGAACATTTCGTTTTTGATGTCGTCATAAAAGTGCTTGAAAGAGATTTTCTTCCAGGAAACTCCACCATCGGTGCTGCGGAGGAAGTTCATGGCACGGTCCACTCCAAAGAGCCAGCCGCTTTTTGGTCCAAAGCTATGACACTGATGATAATGTGCTCTGAAATATCTGAAAAAATAGGTACGTATTCGGAGGATACTTCATGCTGATAATTTTAATAGCATTTAAAAATTATAATAACAACTTGTACAAAGCTAACGTGGAGCTGGTGCTTCAGAAAAGCCTTTTTTGCACTAGCTTATTTGGTAAAGGGAAATTTGTGGTCTTTCCTTTCCACGTTTATACCAAATAAGGGCAAAACAACAGTCCATTGCCGCCACTGCCCTCAACAGCATGGTTGAAATGGCTATGCGCATGCGTTTCAATGACTATATACAGTTTAGTTAATGGAGCATTGTTTTCAGATTTTATCTGAGAAGTTCCTAATTTTGATAATAAAAAAAAAACTGACATCTCCCAGCCTTTCTCACCCATTCACAAGAAAAAGGTAAAAAAGGAATATACATAAAGGTATCACAAACGTACGTATCACTGTCAAGAAGAAAACGGAATATCTTTTTTTCGTCTCGCGTAATGCAAAAGAAATAGAAGACACCTGCACGCAGGATGCATTTGTTGTACCCGATCGGCTCTACCTTGATTTTTGTTTTCTTGCTGTTTTCGTCCTTGTAAAAATACTCCCGGGGAATGTAAATATCATTCATTCGTCGTAAAAATGTCGTTGGAAGCTAAGCATCCTTTCAGTTCAGTAAATTTCAGGGGGTGCTTCCTTATATAAACTATACTGACTATCTGCGCAGCACGAAGGGGTACAAAATTTTACCGTATACCCCTTATGGTCTGAAATTGGGTGTAGAGTTTAATCGGATTGGGTATGAATGAGGGGAAGATTTTGTGCTCTTTTTGATCCAGGTTCTGGAGCTAAATATTGTTTTATTATCATTATTTTTTAACCTTTTGAGAAAAGCTTTTCAGGTCTGAAATAGGGGAGGGAAAAATAGACCCCCCCCCCCTCCCGTACTTGACGTGGAAAACTCACCTCTCCAATCCTTTCCATCACTTGTTGAGAAACAGCTGCTTACTGATCTAACCACACAATGATAATACTACAGAGTCAATCGTAACTATTACTGAAGTGCAAGACTAAAGTGAAATTGGACCTGTGGGGATGGACTGGCATATGAAAAGGATGGGAAACGTGACGTCATTT